ATGTATGAGAGGAGTATGACAGTAGTGAGATGTGCTGTAGGTCAGACAGAGGAGTTCAAGGTGGAGGTTGGGCTACATCAAGGATCGGCTTTGAGTCCCTTCTTGTTTGCTATGGTGATGGACAGGTTGACAGATGAAGTCAGACAGGAATCTCCGTGGATAATGATGTTTGCGGATGACATTGTGATCTGTAGTGAGAGCAGAGAGCAGGTGGAGGAACACCTGGAATGGTGGAGGTCTGCTCTGGAAAGAAGAGGAATTAAAGTCAGTCGTGGTAAGACAGAATAAATGTGTATGAACGAGAGGGAGGGAAGTGGAACAGTGAGGTTACAGGGGGCTGAGGTCAAGAAGGTGCAGGAGTTTAAGTATTTGGGGTCAACAGTCCAGTGTGATGGGGAGTGTAGGAAAGAGGGGAAGAGGCGAGTGCAGGCGGGTTGGAGTGGGTGGAGAAAGGTGTCAGGAGTGTTGTGTGACAGAAGAGTGTCAGCAAGAATCCAAGGAAAGGTGTACAAGACAGTAGTGAGACCAGCTATGCTGTATGGGTTAGAGACTGTAGCAGTGAGGAAAAGACAAGAGGCAGAGATGGAGGTAGCAGAGATGAGGATGTTGAGGTTCTCTTTAGGAGTGACCAGGATGGACAGGATTAGGAATGAGCACATCAGAGGGACAGCTCAGGTCGGCTGTTTTGGGGACAAGGTCAGAGAGGCCAGATTGAGATGGTTTGGACATGTGCAGAGGAGGGGTAGTGGTTATATTGGTAGAAGGATGTTGGAGATGGAGCTGCCAGGCAAGAGGTCAAGAGGAAGGCCAAAGAGGAGATATATGGATGTGCTAAAAGAGGACATGAAGTTAGTTGGGGTGAGAGTAGAGGATGCTGAGGATAGAGTTAGGTGGAAACAGATGATTCACTGTGGCTACCCCTAACGGGAACAGTCGAAAGAAGAAGAGTGTACATTATGTAACAAGTAAACAACCCGACATTTTAGATAAACCCTTTTCTGGTGTATCTGTCTAAAAATCATTTCAGCAGTTCTGTCTTGGCCTTCTGTCAACCCTGTGAACTGTTATGAAACCTCAGACAGCCGGTCGGTTTGTATGGCATAACACCCGAGGGACAAGTCTAATCAGAGAGGCACTGCCTGTCTGAGACACTGCTAAGAGGACTGGCATACTATTATTAACACTGTGAATTGTGCAATATGTGCAACTTTAACAATTATCATTTAAAAGTGTAAACCCACTAAAATCATAAGAGTCAGCATCATCCAAACTTGACTCAATAACCACAGAGAGTATTAAACCTTTTCAGGAATTTTATATAGAAGCTTAACAGAGCTACAGCAAAGCAACAAGCAATAAAATATAAACCTTAAAATCATCAATAATTGTCTTGATTTGCTTACAATCTAAATAAACCAACTACTATTTTAAAACAAATCTAAAATGATCATACTGATTAAAATTATTATGGTTGAGCTAAGCTCTTGATCTGAACAACAGAGATTTTTCTCACGTAATCTGGCTCAGATGGCTCTGGGTAGGGCGGTGGCAGATTGGGCCATTGTTTGTTCCTCTTTTTCCTTTTTGCCATGATTCAAGCTTTCACAAGGGGAAAATAATTTGTAAACAAAAATATCAAAGCTCATCCAGTTCAATCTTTAAAACTCTCAGAGAAATAGGACAAATTCAGTTAAACAATGTTTTTCTTGGTCAAATCTTTTGTAACTCGGGAAAACATAAAAGACATGAAAATGTCTATAAACAGTTTCCTTTTTGTCCATATCTTCATAAAGACATGAAAATATCTAAAACTGTGTTCTTTCCAAGCCATCCTTTCCCCACCAGGCCAGGTGGATTGTGGCTTTTTGTTAAAATTCTTCATTTTGTTAGGTAATTTCTTACTCAGGTAGATACTGATTAGATACTTGTTGTATAGGAATGTTTAGTGTAGCCAGGATGTCTAGCTCAGGCTGTTAAATGCTCAGTTCATTGTCAGGAGTTCTGCAGGCTGCATCTAGGCCAAGGTCAACTAGATTGAAGAGTCTGCAGGCAGGATGAATATTGCTAGTAGCATGATATGTTCAGCCGTAATCTTAATCATAATATCTTCCGAGGCTTAATGTCCGGACATGTCCCTGAACGTCCTGTATGCTTTTAGCTACACACCACATGATCAGCACTCACACACACATTGATTCTCTCCATGTTTTGACTACTGCTACGGCCAGCTGTGAAGCTGGTATATCAGGTGACGTCACGGTTGACGTTCCTGTGTAGCATGGGCTAGCCCAACCAAGGGATAAAATTGTATAGGCATGAGGGTTCAGGGTCTTTTATCCTCCATGCAACAACGAGCCCTGGTTCATTCAACGTGGAATCACAGACAGTCATGATATGCAACTAAGACATGAAGAAGGAAAATAGAGAGTTTAGCTTTTCACTTTTCATTAAAGGACAGATTAATAATCAATATACACTGATCAGGTATAACATTATGACCACCTGTGTTATGGTGAGCACTCGGGGAGGCGAGTGAGTGAACAGGCTGGACCCAGATGGCAGGTGCGATACTGATCACAAACTTTTTTGCACTGAGAAAACAAGTTATGGAGATAACAGTCAATATGCTGGAAATGTCTGCCAGAGGAGGCAGAGCTCGAGGGGTCCACAGATGGGGAGCTGGAGGTGGCAATGCAGGGCAGATGAGGGAACCAAAGATAAGTTGAGACAGGCGGTTATAGCCAGTAAACTCAGGTGGGGTAGAGCGGAGATGGCTGGGCTCGAGGAAGATGAAAGATGAATGGCAGCAGGTCACACAGGCAGAGGCTGAATGGAGAGAGACAGAGGTGCAGATCACTGGAGTAATGACGGGAAACCAGTATAGGCAGAAGCCAGGACCTGTAACAGAGAATCAGAAGAGAAGAAAGAGAGAGAAGGGAGAGAGGCAGGTGGCATAGAGCAAACCTGACAACCTGTACATCTGTATTCACTTCAATGCCACACTTCTGCCTTAACATTTGTGTTTATGAAACTCAAAATGTTTCAGTTTTTGGTGAGAATCTTTCTGTCAATATGGGGTGCTGTGTGTACATTAATGAGGAAAAAAATGAACTTAAATGATTTTAGCATATGGCTGCAATATAACAAAGAGTGAAAAATTTAAGGGGGTCTGAATACTTTCTGTACCCACTGTAGATAGAAACTTTATTGCAGACTCAAGGTCCAGACTCCGAACAACAAAAAACAACAAACAATTAAAATAAAATTAAAAAAAAACATGTAAACGTGGGTTAAGTGTTGATCAGAGCGGTGGCCCAGGGGAAGAAACCATCCTCATGTCTGGTTGTCTAGGCGTCTTGGCGTACAGTGACCTGTAGCGCTGTCCAGAGGGGAGGAGCTCAAACTGTTTGTGTCCAGGGTGTGAGGGGTCTGCAGAAATATTCTCCACCCTCCTTTTGACCCGTGAGGTGTGCAGGTCCTCCAAGGAGGGCAGGCTCACACCAATGACCTTTTCTGCAGTCCTGACTGTCTGCTGAAGTCTGTACTTGTCCTGTTTGGTTGCTGAGCCGAACCAGACAGTGATGGATGAGCAGAGAACAGACTGGATGATTCCTCTGTAGAACTGTATCAGCAGCTCCTGGAGCAGGTCGAGCTTCCTGTTCAGGAAGTACATCCTCTGCTGTGGCTTCTTGATGGTGCTGATGTTGGACATTCACTTCAGGTCCTGCGAAACAGTGGGGGGGTCTCCTCCTGAAGACCACTGTTATCTCCACTGTTTTGACCATGTTCAGCTCCAGGTTGTTGTGGCTACACCACAGGACCAGCTGACTCATCACCATCTCAGATGAGACCGATGACCAATGTGTCATCTACGAACTTCAGGAGTTTAACAGAGGGGTCCTCTGAGGTGCAGCCGTTGCTGTAGAGGGAGAAGCAGCACGCAGAGCACACATCCCTGCGGGGACACCTGTGCTGATAGTCCAGGTGCTGGATGTTGTTTCCCCCAGCCTCACCTGCTGCTTCCTGTCTGTTTCAGGTGTGTGATCAGAGCACGATCCAGCGGTCTGGATCAGACGTAATCTAGATACAGCCTGTAAGACATCGCTCTGCTCTGAGAGTTTTGATGAGCAAACACATAGATATTATTGATTGTTTATAGTCCAGACTTGTCTGGTTCTAACCCAAAGTCTGAATCCAAGTATTTATGATCTCACATATTTTTACATATTGGAAAATACAGAGAGAATCTGGGGAAGTGAGTGAGTTTGGAATTGAACCAAGAAGCGTTGGTTTGGGCATTAAGGTTAGAATTAAGCTCAAACAAGTCCAAAAAAATCAGATTTCAGCAGACCTGCCAACTTGTGCACATTGTGATATCAAAGTGCACTGGTACAAGTTCTTACTCTAAAGTACACAAAAAGAGATCTTGTTATTTATTGCAGCTGAACCTGTACTCTTAATGAGCATCATGACGCCATAGAAATTCCTAGAGTTAATGGGAGAGATGTTCATGCCTCCACACCTCTGGCGTTCCCCTCCGTGCATTGTGCACAGCCTGCAGTACTGATACTGACATGAGTAATCAGGGATCAGATGATGTGCATCAGACTACTGTTTATGTTTTCACTCATCTTGTGCCCCGGGTGTAAGGTGGTACACAAAGAATTTCTTAAAGGCTGATGCTGCTGTATCAGTCATTGTCAGCTAAATCTTCCTCTGACCAACTTTGATGAGAGTTACGATGCTGTACATACAAGTTCAGCTTATTCAGTCTCCTTCCAGGCTTTCTGCAGGCCCTTAGTCATACACCTGACTTGAGTAAACCTGCAGAAACTTTGCTGCCCATGATGAATCATATGATCCTGTTAGCTGAGAAGGGCACTTGTCTTCTTTTGTGGTGTTTACTATGCTCTGCCCTCTGCTCAGATGCCCCTCCGATGGAGCGGGAGGAGCTGTTTGTCCAGAAGCTGCGTCAGTGCTGCGTGCTCTTCGACTTCGTCAGCGATCCGCTCAGCGACCTCAAATATAAGGAGGTGAAGAGAGCGGGACTCAATGAGATGGTCGAGTACATCACACACAACAGTGACGTGGTGACCGAGTCCATCTACCCTGAGGCCGTCATCATGGTGAGAAACCACATGCACAGACATAATCCAGTCCTGGTGTCAGTTAAAGGACCAGCCTGGTGGTATAGTATGTTTATTCCCCACAAACCCCATCCAGAGACCAGCAGTCCCAGTGAAGGTGGTGCCCTTGCCTTAATGTGTGAGAGTCCAGACCCTGGTCCAGCTTATGGCTCTGTGCCGTGGTCTTCCACTGTTGTCCATCAGCTATTAACCCCCCCTCAGTGAGCCACACCGCTGCAGGTGTGGGGAGGCAGGTTTCCTCCTCAGGAATCACGGGAAGCCGTCTCCAAAGGCTGAGAGTGGCGTCACTGTGCACACAGTCTGAAGGAAGAGTCACTGATCTCTGCTCTGTTGACACTGCTCAGCTAGCTTCTCATACTGCATGGCTGCTTGACAGAAACAGACAAGCCAGGAAAAAAACTCTGAAAGAAGAGGTTAACTCCATGACAAGAGGGTTGTCAAAAATATTTTATCCAGCCAGGTCACTGACAACAGAAAGTTTTAGTTTTTATTGATTGAAATTTAGTACGCAAACATGAGCTAAACAATTTTCTAAAAGTGAATATGTGGACAAACATTGAAACATCCAGGTTCAGTGTGTGGTTAGTTATTCTGACACTTCACCTTTAAGGTCTAAAACTAGTCCTCACAAAGAGAGCACACTTAGTTGATTAATCGATGAATCGGCAACCATTTTGATAATGGAGTAATCATCTTTTTTCAAGCACACGTGTGTTTTGTTGTGTTAACCTCTTACAACAAGTAATTTGACACTGCCTTCATTACAACTTTTGTTGTCTTCAAATGTTTTCATGTCAGTAATCCACTGATTAGCCGATAAAACCGATAACCCTAACCCCTAATGAAAATAGATGTTAGTTAGGCCCACATTGTTTGGTAATAGAGTTTATGTATTTGGTCAGTTTTCAGTGAACCTGTTCCGGACACTTCCTCCATCCTCCAACCCCACTGGAGCAGAGTTTGACCCTGAGGAGGACGAACCTACGCTGGAGGCTGCCTGGCCTCACCTGCAGGTATGCGATGCAACAGCGTGTTGACAGGTACAGTCACCGCTTGTTCCTGTACCGCTGAGCCCACACTGCCAGTGTAAAACAGTCTTCTGCATCCATCTGTAGACCACTCTGTACCAAGGAGCAGGGAGCTGGTTGACCCAGTGTTCGTTTTGTCAACAAAACCGAGACTAAATAAAAACCTGACTCAGTTCACTCAGGTTATTTCTGATGCCTTTAAACTTGTGTGTTGCTATATGACCCTGTTGTGTTGATGTATGTGCGTTTGTCTCCACAGCTCGTCTATGAGTTTTTCCTCCGTTTTCTGGAGTCTCCAGACTTCCAGCCAAACATTGCCAAAAAATACATTGACCAAAAGTTTGTACTGTCGGTAAGATTTGAGGCTGCATGCACCAGCATGAGGTTGTGTACGAGTCCAGACAGAAGTGAGTCTGAGTTTCATTCTTATGCTGCAGCTGCTGGAGCTGTTTGATAGTGAGGACCCCAGAGAACGAGACTTCCTCAAGACCATCCTCCACCGGATCTACGGCAAGTTCCTGGGCCTCCGGGCCTACATCCGCCGCCAGATCAACAACATCTTCTACAGGTCAGAACTGCAAACACATCTGTAGAACTACAAACAAAGAACCAAAGAGCTACACATCCAAGGTGAACAGCCAGCTGGTTAGAACCAGTGTTCCCAGTTTGTCTAACTGGTGGTGGTGTTCTGCAGATTCATCTATGAGACAGAACATCACAATGGCATTGCGGAGCTGCTGGAGATCCTGGGGAGGTAACGCATACACACGGTGAGCAGGGCACACACTGGTTCATCTGCCTCCAGTAACATGTTATCTCTCTCTCTCTCTCTCCTAGTATCATCAGTGGCTTTGCTCTACCACTGAAAGAGGAGCACAAGATGTTTCTGATCAGAGTTCTTCTTCCGCTCCACAAAGTCAAGTCTCTGAGCGTGTACCACCCCCAGGTCAGAGCACGGTCTGTCTGTCTGTCTGTCTGTCTGTCTGTCTTTCTGTCAGTGGCATCTCTCATGTGACTGGCACAACAGTAACACCAAGCTTGTGTGTGTGTCTGCAGCTGGCGTACTGTGTGGTCCAGTTCCTGGAGAAGGACAGCAGCCTGACAGAGCCGGTGAGTGTGATGTCCCGCCTATTTCCATGGAAACACTGTGAAGCTCTGAGGCTGCTATTTCCATGGGAACACAGAGAGGGCGGACACATTAACAGAAACACCTGCACAACAGCTGGTCGGGTCTGCAGACGCACATTTGTAAAGCCTTGCAGCCTGTGCGTTGGCTGGGAGGTGGATTAGCCTTTAATGACGGGCTGGGTTAACCAGACACCTGTGACATCTGTCTGTTGTTCTGCATTACTGTGGGCAAAGATGACGGCAGCTGAGCTTGCAGTGTTATATGTAACCCTCAACAGACACAGCTTCTCAGCCAGCTAAAAACTGACAGTAAGGCTGTTAGGTGATACAGTCTGACTTCTGTAGCCCATGACCTTTGACCCCTGCAGGTGATCATGGGTCTGCTGAAGTTCTGGCCTAAGACTCATAGTCCAAAGGAGGTGATGTTCCTGAATGAGCTGGAGGAGATCCTGGACGTCATCGAGCCATCTGAGTTTGTTAAAGTCCAGGAGCCACTCTTCAGACAGCTCGCCAAGTGCGTCTCCAGCCCGCACTTCCAGGTAACTACCAGAACCCACTGCTAGAACCTGATTCAGAGCTACTCCATAAGATCATCCGGAACTAGAACCACAGCTACAGAGCGGAACAGCAAAGAATATGACCAGAGTCTGGACCTAAACTTCAACCTGAAGCTAGAACTAGAGTCAGGTCAGAACGTGAACTGCAGGCCCAACCAGAACCTCCTGTTCCTGCAGTAATCGTATTCACTTCCTGTTTGCTCTGCCTGCATCATGTTGTGCTTGCTACCAGATTGTTTACAGATTACACTCACTAATTTCTAGGTTTATCTGAACATCAGCTAATTTTTTGAGTCCCAGCATACGCCTACATAAGCACCTGTGTTACAGAATTTCTTGATGATTTCCAAATTTAACTTGCTACTTTAGGTCAGCTAACTTAGACGCTAGCTCTAATAATGGTACTGGTAATAAATGTCAGATGCTAGCAGCATTGGAAGCGAGGCTCACCGAATTGGAAGCACGGCTCCGCACCATGGAGAATGGCCCAGCTAGCCAGGCCCCAAGAGTTATTGCGGGATCTCCTAGACGTAGCTTAGCCCAAACTAGCCGCCCCCCAGCACTTCCCGAGCAGCCAGGTCACAGTTCACAAGAGTCATAGCTCGAAGCAAACGCCCATGGAGCATCACCTGCCTGTTCACGTTTCAAATCGATTTTCCCCACTCAGCGACACACCTGCTGAGAAAACAACTCTGGTAATTGGAGACTCAATAGTCAGAAACGTGAAGCTAGAGACACCAGCGGCCATAGTCAAATGTTTTCCTGGGGCCAGAGCGGGCGACATTGAATCCTATTTGAAGCTGCTGACTAAGGATAAGCGTAAATACAGTAAGGTTGTTATTCACGTCGGCACTAATGACTCCCGACTTCGCCAGTCGGAGGTCACTAAAATTAATGTTGAGTCGGTGTGTAACGTCGCTAAAACAATGTCGGACTCCGTAGTTTTCTCTGGACCCCTACCCAATGTGACCAGTGATGACATGTTTAGCCACATGTCGTCATTCAACCGCTGGCTGTCTAGGTGGTGCCCAGAAAATAACGTGGGCTTCATAGACAACTGGAAAACATTTTGGGGAAAACCTGGTCTGATTAGTAGAGACGGCATCCATCCCACTTTGGGTGGTATATGCCCTTAGCGTGAGGACGTTGTTCTTTATCTCTGCACTAGTTGACCTTAACATTGTGCTTGTGATTTTCAGTGCAGCTAGGTTTCACTGAAGAGCTGTGACAGAGTTCGCAACAGAGAGCAAGCCTGAGCAGAAGACCTCAGGGGAAACAGTTAACCTGGTCTCTTAAGCTGAGGTTCTCATTGGTTCTTATGATGAGGAACAAGGTTTTGTTTTGTCACATTTACCATCAAAACAATCTGGTGTGTTGGTTGGTTGAATGTGCATCAGTGGTTGGAGGCAGTGAACCCAGACAGCACAAGAAACCCTTCTTTGAGCAGGTTATAATGTTCTTCCACTTAAGAAAAGTAATTCCCTGTTGCTAAGCAACATGAGTGCTGAAAGGACATGATCGCACTGCTGCTGATCGAGGTCTGCTCTTCATCCTGAGGGGCTAAACTGGACTCTATAGCCTGTGATGATGATGATAACGTGTGTGTGTGAGCAGGTGGCAGAGCGAGCTCTGTATTACTGGAACAACGAGTACATCATGAGTTTGATCAGTGACAACGCTGCCAAGATCCTCCCCATCATGTTCCCTGCGCTCTACAAGAACTCCAAGAGCCACTGGAACAAGTAACACGCACACACACACATATGTTAATAAAAACTGATGAACAATATTCATTGGTCTAATTTAAAAATGAAAATGAGAATTAAACTGGATAAATAGATGACTGTGAAATGTTTTACTTTTTTTTTTTATCAGTGAATAAGAACAAAACCAAAAACCTAATGGTAATGTTGATGAATGGGCATGAAGTCATTACATCTTAATGCAGAGTCTTATTCAGTGACCTGTGGACTGTCAAACCTTCGCTCCTGCTCAGCGCAACCAAATCTCTCCTGTTCAGATGTTGATTTAGCTGCTGACCTGTTGCACTGCCACTTCTCGGAAGAAATGGGTGTATGACAAGAAGACACACACACAAGGAAAATGCAGTAGCGTGCTAACGTCCATTGGTGAAAAGACTAGACCAGTTCATTTCAGCTGTGTGTCAACATGTTTTAGATCCATACAGAAAAACTCAGGCAGAGCAGCAGCTCTTCATTAATGCACATGTGCTGTTTGTTTAGTCTCAGTGTGAGAGATGAATCCCTGCTTGCAGACACAGCAGTAGCTTTGATCTGTGGATGGAAACACCAGTACTGATCCATACAGGATCAATGCTCCATATGTAGAACCACTGTTTGATACTAGTGCTGGTACTAGGCATTCTGAACTGAAGTGATTTGGTTCTTTTGAGCTTTAGTTGTCGGCAAAGGGTGTAAGATGATGTTCCAGCCTGCAAACAAGTAACATCAGTCTGCAGCTACTTTTTGTTTGTTGTGCAGCTGTGATCCACGAGTAATCCAGCTCTGGGCTATGATACATACAGGAGTCTGCTCAACAGTGTCTCCCTGAGTAGTTATCGAACTCCTCCTCTTCCTCAGGACGATCCACGGTCTGATCTACAATGCTCTGAAGCTCTTCATGGAGATGAACCAGAAGCTGTTTGATGACTGCACACAGCAGTACAAGGCTGAGAAACAGAAGTAATACACACAGAGCCAGCAGCACGTTCACCCAATCTGTGTTCATACTGCACAAACTGACTCCAGATAAAAATGTCTGCTCTCAAAGAGCAGCTTTTTGAAACATCAGTGTCAATGAACGTAAACATTCATGTGTCAAATTACTTCCATTCATGAACTCTTGTATGTTTCCTGCAGAGAGAAGTACAAGCTGAAGGAGAGGGAGGAGGTCTGGCACAAGATAGAAGAGCTGGCCAGGCAGAACCCACAGGTACCCTCACCGGGCATCGCCCAGGCCTCAGCAGTGCCACTGCCATGCAGGATGTGTTCATGAGCGCTGCTCACCTGTGATCGGTCTGTCTTAAGAGCACCTGGTTGTTAATTCTTGTGCGCACGTGGCTCACATTTCAGTTCAATCTGTGCATGTGTGGCAGTTTAGGAGCTCAACGGTGTTCACACCAGAGCTGAGTGCACAGCACTGACACACACAGATGTGAAGCAGAAACACAACAAGGTCAGAGCTGAGCGTTAAGGCCCGGGAAGAATACTTGCTAGTCTGTGCAGCAAACATTTATGAAATGACATGAAAATTACAGGGAGGCGACAGTGGTGCGTTGGGTAGAGCTTTTGTTTCCCAACTGGAAGGATGAAAGTTCGAATCTTGGTGTCTGCAGCCCACATGTTGCCCCGTTGCCCGTGATGGCGGATGGCGGTGCGTAAGCATGCAGTGGCCTGGGGCCCTCAGTTCCAAACTTAATTTCGTTGTCACAATGAATAAAGCTTCTTCTTCTACAGTAGATCTGGGCAGTCTTGACTGTCCTAGTGGGAACACTGACCTGAGCACACTGAACACGCCCCCTCACGCAGTTGAGTGCTTTTCTGCATCCACATAGATCAGCTGAGGGATGCTCATCATTTTTTTGGGAACACTGAAGCTCTCTGTTGATTATCTGGTTTAACAAAAGTCAGTTAAACACCCTGGCTGTTTCAACATGATGTTTGCTGTCGTGTAAAATTAGTTCAGTTTGTTGCTGTTCTGCTGTGACTTGGATGCTTTTAATGTGAAGTGCTTTAGTTAGAGAAGTGTTGTATTAATAACTCTACTTATGTCAGCAGCTGCGCTGATTACAGTGAAAGTGTATTTGCTGTGTTGAGTTGAGCAGATTTTGTTTGACCTCTGCACCTTTTTAATGACCTCTCTTTCAGAGCCATAAACTCCACCCCCTTCGCCCTGGACTCCACCCACAGGAGGAGGTCAGTTCTTGTACCAATCATGTTTTATTTTGAGTTTTCTTCCCATGAATCAGTGCTGTTTGAGTCTGTTGAGTCCGAGGCGTTCCCAGGCCAGCCGAGAGACATAGTCCCCCCAGCGTGTCCTGGGCCTTCCCCGGGGCCTCATCCCG